ATTTGACCAAGGTTAAAGTAAGACATGTTTCTATAAGGCTCTGGTAACCCTTTTTCAGACTTTCTGCTGACACCAGGAGTGAAAACTTGATGATTTATGGATTTGTATATAGATAAGGGATGGGTTATGGGAAGAAGAGATATTTGTTTGTAATCTTATAGGTGGTGAAGAATTATAAAGTTTGTTTATACTTGTTGTAATGAAGATCAGAAGTCACTTCTTTAAACATTTCTTTGCTTTTTCTTTATCTTATCTTATCTTATCTTATCTTATTTTCTTTTTTCTTTTCTTTTTCTTTCTGTGCACTTCTATCTCTCCTTTTCTTTCTGAGTTTAATTTGTACTTGATTTCATTACCGTAATCAAAATTTCCAATAATTTTTTTTTTAAAGGATTATTTTCCCTGCTTCTTCATACCCTCAAGTACGCTATGTATATCAGAAAATTTGGTCAGGAATGTCAGCTTTAGTCACATGGGAATTTACTCAAACCATTCTGGATATATAAAAATAAGTAAAAATAAATTATTTTTTCCTCACAAAGCCAAATAAACCACTCTAACAAATTTCATTTGCCATCAAGCTACAGCTTCCAGCTATTCTGAAGTTTCTCCTTTTTGGAGACTATATCACTCCTTTGCATCTATGAGCCTATTTGACATAAGGCCAAATAGCAAGAGACAGATGAAAAGAAGATCTTCACATACTGCCCTTCTGTCTGTTACTCACCTGGCCTATGGCTAGTTAAATGAGCCCCTGTGTTGAAGGGCTTATCCACACAACCATCTTGTCCCAACACAAGAATGAGCCACTGACCACTTATTGAATGCATGACATTCCACCCACTGACCTACCCACCCATCAGCAAGGCAATCACCATGTGTCTTCTCCTTCTATGCATCAGGAGACAGTGCAAATAGCAAGCAGCACTAACTGGTTCATCTGATGTACTTCATTTCATTTAAGGCAGACACTTCCACTGTGTGTCATTTTCCCTTTCTAGCCCAAGTGGATAAAAAAAAAAAAAAAAAGTAAAAGGATAGGTTTTTGTGTTTTTTTAACCAGTGGACATACAAGGCAAGGTGTCAAGTACAAACAGGAGTCAGCTTAGATACAAGCGAGCCTTTTCTATCCTCACATATTTATTAATCCATCTACCTTTTTTTCAAATACAGTGAACATCAGCTAGCGTTGATAGCTGGGCTAAGGCTACACGCTGCATCCAAGACACTATACAGTATTATGAACAATTTTTTTGAATGGCATGTTCTACTACTTAATTACTTCATATTCTTTCAGCAGTCTGCTTGTGTTCAGGAGCATATCTTCTAACACAGGCTCCTGCTGAATTCAAATTTCTAACAGTCTCATTAAGTATTTAACAACTTAAACAGCCCAGCTGACCAATCTCACCTCTGCAAAAAGTCCAGAACATCTATCTATGTATAAATAGATGACTGTATTTCACATCCTGCTTTCTAAGTGGAATTGTGATTTTATGCTTGTGAGTAGTAGCCAACGAAGTGGTCATCAAACTAGTTGTTTAGCCATTTGTGCTGTTCCTTTCTTGAGATAGTGCCTGGAATACTTTTCTTGCAATCTTACAGAAGCTATGCAAGCATGCCTTTCTTTTTTCTATATGCTGATTTTTACTGTTCTGGACTCATGCTAAAGGTCTCAACCCCCCCTTCCCTTAAAGGGGGGGGGGGGTTATGTAGTTTTAGATTAGCTACTGACCATTAGGAGGTAAACAAACTCTGATACAAAATCATATAGAAAAAAGGAAGGGATATTTGGCATAGCTTCTATAAGACTTCCCTCCCTGCAAGCTACTGGCAGACAGGCCATGATAGCTCTAAAGCTAAATGTACTGTATAGTCAACAAGAGTTCACGTAAACATACAGTGGGGCAAAAAAGTATTTAGTCAGCCACCAATTGTGCAAGTTCTCCCACTTAAAAAGATGAGAGAGGCCTGTAATTTTCATCATAGGACAGGTGTCTTTTATACTGATAACAAGGTCAAACAGGTGCCAACC